ATATTCTGGTTATATGTATCCTATGTGCACCCAGTGTATAGTTTGCCTTTCCAACTTCTTCTGCTCTGCTTGATGCACAGAAATTGTTATCTTTAATGTTACTGAATCTGCCTATCTTCTCTGTTGCTTGGCACTTTTTTTTGTATCTGTGTAAGGAATCCTTCCCTACCTAAAGTCATGGGATTACTTTTCCTTATATTTTCTCTCAAATGTATAATAGATTTGCTTTTTTAAATGTAAGCTTCTCATCCATTTGGAGCTTTTGTATTCATGCCATTTGTATTTGTGGTAATTTCATATGTTTAAAATTTGTGTTTATCTTTTCTAACTTTTCTTGATGAATCTATGTTGTTCTTAAGATAACACATTAAAATTTTCAAAAGTTCAGTTGGATAAGTAAAAATGTTTACCTCGCACAATATTTTCAATCCCTTTGGATTGATTCTGCCTATTATTTTGACTTACCAGAATCTGGTAAGTGGTTGTGTAGTGGAGGGGAGACCACAGGGTAGCCCATTTCTACATGAGGGCAGTCTGAGGTGGAATGCAGGTTGGGAAGGAAGAGGAGTAAGATAGTATTCTGTATAGGCATTCAGTACCAACCTATATGGCTCACTTCCATTTGCAAAGCACCTTGACTGACATCTTGCTTGATTCTCACAGCAATCCCATCAGACAGCAGAGTTTAGATGAGGAATCCAAGGTTCAAAGACATCTGATTCTTACCCAAGCTTTGTTAAGTGTGCATGCTCCTGCTGCAGTACTTGTAACTAATTGCCCTGCCTCTTATCCTTTTCTAATTCCTCTTCTTCTTCTTCTCCTTCTCCTTCTCCTTCTTCTTCTTCTTCTTCGAAGGGCTTTCACTGGTTAATCTAGTTTGTCCGCAACCTTATGATCCTCCCACCTCAGCCTCTCAAATAGCTGGGATTCCAGTTGTACGCCATTATACTCGGCTTCATCCTGTGTTCTTTTCAGTAAACATTTCTCTGAGAGGCAGGTATTTGAAGGATGACTTTTTGACATTGAAGAAGTGATGTAGTGTTAACTTGGAGTAATAAGCTGTGCTTTGTGCTTAGATAGTTAGTGGCTATAAGTTGCCCACAGTCTCTCTCCATCATGACAAACTCCCAAACACTTCTCTGTAGTATCCAATCTCAGGAAATGAAGTATTGTTGCTATATGAATTAATGCATGCCTCGTAATGTTTTATTTTCTCTCATTTAGAAGCTTGACTAAGCTTTGACATTTGCTTCTTTTTAAAGCAGTTGCCCAAATGAAATCATCTTGGTGTTTGTATTTGCTTTATTAGTCTTCCATGACTTTAACAGGCAGCCTTAGAAACAAAAGACCCATTCTTTACTTCCTTGGCACAATCTGCATCATTTTTGAACATAAGAAAGGAAAAAGATGAAGACGATTTTCCTTTGCTCAAATATCAATGGCATTGTCTAAGTTCTCTAGGCTAAATTAGGTGGAAAAAATAAATCTAAAGTCATTTTGAAAGTATGCAACTTTCTCCCAATTCTAAATCAGAGATCAACAAACTTTCTGTAAAAGCCAAGGTGGTAAATATTGTGGGCTTTATGATTTTAATGACAACTACTCAATTCCACCATCGTAGTTTGAAAGCAGCTATAGGCAAAGCATAAACCAATACGCATTGCATCATGCCAAAAAAGTTTTATTTACAAGAACAAACAGCAAATGTGGTCCCAGACCAGAGTTTCCTGACCCCTATTTTGGATTATTTCAGCGTTGTCTACCAGGAATCTAATTCTTTAACTAAGTGATTTCTTATCAATTATATATTTCAGAGCCTCTTCCTATTATCACAGCTTCTAGTTGGTTTTTATTTTCTGCAAAAGTAAAGTATGATAATTGCAAAGATGATGACAATTCACTACATTCTAAGCTCATTAAGAGTCAAAGGGAAGTCCAGCATTATAAGGCACCTATTAACCTCTTTCTTTCCAAGATTAGGGTTGCTGTGAGCTATAAACTTACTTGGTTCAGGCACATATTAATCTATAACCTCTTACTGTGTTTTAAACCTCTTCAACGATGATAGAAGACAGACAGGTTTGTAAATTGTCCAATCAGCATTTTATTCCATTATGGTCATCAGAACCACAGATCTGAAAAGTATCTTTACTTTTATCATTTAATTCCTTTAGAGAGCAAACAGATGTGAAAAACATTCAATGACTGAGTTGAAAATAAGACCTATTTTTTGCAGCTATTTAGTCACTTTCTCCCATTATGTCTCAGTTTACCCATGTCCCTTTTGGGAATTGTAATTCCTTTTTGTATCAGACTTTTGTGGCACCAGAACAACCAAAGCAATTCTGAGCCAAAAGAACAAGAGGAGGCATCACAATACCTGATATCAAAATATAATATAGAGTCATTGTAACAAAAACAGCATGATATTGACATTAAAAAATGATACATAGACCAAAGAACAGAATAGAGGATCAGGAATAAACCCATGCATCTGTAGTCATCTGATTTTCAACAAAGAAACCAAAAATATACATTGGAAAAAAGACAATCTCTTTAACATATGGTTGAAGAGGGAAAACTGAAAATCCACCTGTAAAAGACTGAGACTATATTTCTCTCACCCTGTAAAAGAGTCAACTCAAAATAATCAAAGACTTTAATATAAGACCTGAAACTTTGACACTGCTAGAGGAAAACAGAGGAAGCACTTAAAGATATTGGTACTGAAAAGCACTCCAGTAGCTCAGAAAGTAATAATAAGAACTGAAAAAAATGAGATGGCATCAAATTATAAAGCTTTTGCATAGGAAAAGAAACAATCAACAGTGAAAAGACAGTCTATAAATGGGAGAAAATCTTTGCCAGCTAGTGACCTGACAGGATTAATATCCAGAATATATTTTTTAAAAATTCAACACCAAAAGAACAAGTAACCCAATCAATAAATAGGCAAATGAGCCTAACAGACACTTCTCAGAGGAAGAAAGCACAGATGACAAATAAATACATGGGAAAAATACTCAACATCAGGGAAATGCAAATAAAAACCATACTGAGATTCCATCTCACTCCATTATCAAAACACAAAAGTGACAAATGCTGGTGAGGATTCCAGGGAAAAGGAACTCCTACACTTGGTGGGAATGTAAATTAGTATAGTCATCATGGAAACAGCATGGAAGTTCCTCAAAAAACTAAAAATAGAGCTATTATATGATCCAGCTACACCATTCTTGGGTATATATCCAAGGAAATAGAAGTCAGCATACAAAAGATTCCTGCATACCCATGTTTAGAGTGGCCCTGTTCATAATTTACCAAGTTATGGAATCAGCTTAGATGTCAATCAATGGATGAATGGACAAATAAAATGTGGTATATATGCACAATGGAGGAATATTATTTAACTATAAAAAAGAATGGAATTCTGTTATTTGCAGGAAAATAGGTGGAAGTAGAGATCATCATGTTAAGTAAAATGAGCCAGTCTCAAACAAGTATCACATGTTTTCTCTCATATATTGAGATTGGAAAGAAAAGAAAGACAACATGAGAGCAGAAGGTGGCCTTCTGGCAAGGGAAAGGAGATCAGGGGAGGAGAAACAGGGGTAAGAAAGGGTAGTAAGGAGGGTGGATCAAAGCATGTTATATACATATAGAGAAATGTCACAATGAAACCCGCTGATTTGCACAATTAAAGTGCACTAATAATTATGATAATAATAAAAAGATTCTGAGATGAAGGGCAACATAGGAGGAATTGATTCTTTCATTAAGAATTTTGTACATAGAATCTTCCCATGAAAGAAAATGGTCTTAGAAAATATTTTGGAGAATATTTTTAAATGCTTGTCTTTCTGTTTGCTGAGAAATATCTAGGGACACATTTTTATATGCAAGATTCTTATACTAAGAAGCTGAAAGAATATTTTCCCACTGCCACATTTACTTATAACATTTAAATTAGCATTTTTTATATAAAAGTAATATAGCTTTATAGAAGGAAATTTGAGAAATGTAGAAAAACATAAACAAAAAAATTAAAATCACTCAAATACAACTGCTTAGAAAATGAACTGTTGCTAACATTTTAGTGACCATTTTCTGACATTTCTCTATGCATTTGTGTCCATGTAGATTAGCTATAAAATTTTCACATGCATCAGATGATATACAAACCATTTTAATAACCTGTCTTTTTATTGAAGAATATAAAATGGATATGTTTCTGGGTTGATAAGTAAGGACCGACATTTTAATGGCTATATGACATTCTACAGTATGATGTACTTAGGGTAACCTGCTTAAACAGTTCCCAAGTGGTTAATTTAAGTGCTTTGTACTTTCCCTTTATTATAGAGCATGCCAATGTAAACATTCTTATGTGTTTTCTTGTCCCTGCCAGAGCATTGCTTCAAGATAAGTTTGCAGAATTTAATATTTGCATATTTACCATATGTATATAATTTTGATACAGAGAAGTGTATGCCCAAATCATATTCTCTCCTACAGTAAATGAGAATATTTTGCATTCTCACCAATCGTGGGAAATTTCTCAGCAGATCAGTGATTCAGGATCTCAGCATCCTTTATGGTTGCTATTGTTGTTTTGTAAGTATTTTATATTTTTTAAACTAACACGTGCATATATATCAGAGACTATGTTTGGTGTTTTTATGAAAATTAACTAATTCGATAACCTAATGAAGTGGGCACTATTATCATCCTTAAATTACCCACAAGGAAACTGTTGTGTGATTTGAAGGTCATGTGTCTACTAAGTGGGGGAATCAGTAAGTGAACCTTGCTGGTGATCCCACAGTCCATCTTCCTGACCATAATGCCCAGCTGCCAAGAGGAGAAAAAACTCAGCTGTCAAGCAAACAAGCCTAAACACCAGAGTTCAGAGAGTCATATCCTGACCTCCATGCCACAGTTATTTTTAGCATTTTCTATTTTAATTATTTGAAAAATAATATTGTTGATTTTTTTTTTAGGATGCATCAAGCTCAGAAGAAATCTAAAGAAGCTTTGCCCTACTATAAAGAGGCTTTGGAATATACTGAGATCAGCAAAGGTGAACAAAGTCATGAGTATGTATCAGTCTTGAGGGAATTAGCTGCTGTAGAGCAAGCCCTGGGACTGCACGATGTGGCCATCAATCATTTCTTACAGGTAAGGTGTGATGTACTGGCCACTAGAGCCGCATTAGACCCAAAGTTTTTCATAATCACAAGTGGTTACAACAGCCCTGAAAGTGCCTGACTTTGTGGTTTGTTCTGGTTAAGCAGAACACTTGGCCTAGAGTAGATGTTCAGCAAAGATTTTCATATTAGGTGGCCAAGCAGGTGGGTGCTCTGTACTGTCCCCACTGCTAGTTGCACATCTGCCAGCAGCCTGAGGTGGGTTTTCTCAAGTTATGTGCAAAATTTAAGTCCTGTTTCCAACATGAAGTTTCTTTATCCTTTGGTATTTATTTAGAGCTCATATTAGTAAACTGACTAGGGAGTCTTTTCTTAAATGACATTCTAAAAACTTTACCTGGAGCCACTTAGAGTTGTATCAGTTAGCTAGTATTCTACTTTGTCACCATAAGATCCTACAGTGAGTATCTCAGAGTACTATGGAGAAAAAGAACCAGTAGGATCCCTTTCTTTCTCAATATATATATTTAGAAAGAGAATTATTTTAAGTAATTGGCTCATGTGCTTTTGGGATTGGCAAGAAATCCACAGGACAGGCCAGCAGGCTGGAAACTTGGGCATGATTTCTCTGTTACAGTCACAGACAGCCTGGAAATGTGGGCAGGATTTCTATGTTACAATCCTAAAGCTGAATTCCTTCTGCTCTAAGAAATTTCAGGATTTTTGTCATTGTTGCTATTCTTTAGGTCTTCAACTGAATGGATGAGGTCCACTTATATGAGTGAGAGCCACTTCCTTTACTTAAAAGTAAGTGATTGCAAATGTCAATCACATCTACAAAACATAGTCACAGCAACATCTGGACTGGTGTTTGACCAAACAACTGGGCCCCATAACCTAGCCAAGTTGATACCTAACATCAATCATGTCTTTATATCATAGCATGGTTGAAGAGCACTTTTTAAAATTTTTCTGAGAATGCAAAATATAGACTAACCCATGCCTGTTATTTCAAAGAAGATATAATGACATGGTACTGAGAATACATTATTGCTATGTCTTTTTAAATTTGTCTGACAATTTATACTCCCACTCACAGTGTGTTAGAGTGCCCCATTCTTTCACTTTATCTGGATCATCTCTTTAATCATTATTACCACTTTGTAACATATCATTTCCAGCTTATAGAGAAGGAAGATAGGAATTAGAAAGGTTGAGTGATATGCCCAGGAGGATGCAGCCAATAAATGGCATAGCCCAGATTTAAAACTGGTAATTTTTTTAAAGCAAGATTCTCCTGGCTGATGTGTAGAGAATAGATTTGAAAGGTTGTGCCAAGAGTGGAATTGGAGAGATCAGTCGGGAGGCTACTGAAATAGTGAAAGCGAAAAATGACAGTGGTGTGGAGTAGGACGAAGGTAACGGGGATGACAAATTGAAGAAATATTTAGAAGTCATAATTGATACAACATAGAGATTATATATGTGTGTGGCAGGGTGAGAAGTCTGGGATGGCTCCCAGATTCCTGTGTGGATGTTTGGGCCATTTACAGCGGAGGAATAGGGGTGACCATGTAATGCAGAGATGGGGAGCTCTGTTTAGGATGGTGAGTCAGAGAGGCCTGTGAGGCATACGAGTGGAGTGACAGCCGGCAACTAGGTAACCAGGCTGCAGCTCAGGAAGACGTTCACTTCCATACAGAGAGGTCATGATCACCTAGGCAGAGGGAGGAGGAAGGGAGGAGGAGGGAGCCAGAACAGAAAACTTCTGACTGATGACAGAATCTTGAGGAACTTCCATAGTTATTGGTCAAGTGAATGATAACCTTGGCAAAGAACTAAAAAGGAGAATGAAAAGAATTTGCCAGGAAAAAAAAAAAAAACAGAAGAAAAAATAAAAATGAGAGAGATGCCTTTTGTCACTTCTTCTTGATATCTTTTACTATGGAAATAGAATTTGTTGGTAGGATAAATGGTATTATTTGTAAAGTGCTTAGCACAGTGCCAGATACATAGTGCTACATATAGATTTTTAAGAATTTCTCTCTTTACCAAAGGTCTTTCCTTTTCTGTTCCCCACCCCTACACCTTTTAATTTTTTCTCTCCTTTCATTGGTCACTAGGGCAAAGATGAAGACAGTAAGCAGATTGTATAAAGTGAAATGTGAGGGATTAGACACTAAATGTAAATATCAATTTCAAAAAGTACTAATAGGTGGAGAGAACTAGCCCAGCAAGAGGGTAGAGCTCAGGAAAAGGCCTGAAAGTGAGACAAAGAGTAAACACTGAATATAACCCCGTGCCCTGGACCACAGGAAAGATGCAGGTCGTAGATGGCTATCATTTGGATAAGAGTTGAAAGTCATGTTAAGGAATTTGAGCTTCCTCCTCAGGATATTTGAAGGTTTTCAAGCAGGAAGATTGATACCATCAAATGATTAGTCTTGAAGGAATTTTCTAAGGAGAAAGTGGTGGTGGGTAAATAAGTAGGGTAATCACCCAGAGATGACCACCACAGGTCAGGTAGGAGATGATGATGGCCTGGATTCAGGTGGTATCCCTGGGAATGGAAACCTGTGGACAGATTTGAGAGACATGTGGGGAATAGAAATGACAGGCCTGGGGCATACGCAGATGTAGGGGTGTGAGGGAGGGGAGGAGTCCAGATTTCTGTTAGGTTTCCATTGCCTGCAGGTACCACAGTTTATCTATTCACCTACTAAAGGATATCTTGGTTACTTCCAAGTTTTGCCATTTATGAATAAAGCTACTATAAAAAGTCCATATATGGGCTGTTACAAGGACATAAGTTTTCAACACCCGTGGGTAAATGCCATATGGTAAGAATTGTTTTAGAAGAAACTGCCAAACTATCTTCCAAAGCAGCTAAACCATTTTGCATTCCCACCAGCAATGAATGAGAATACCCTTAGCTCCCCATCCTTGGAGTTGTCAGTATTCTGGACCATTTTATTGGTTTTAATTTGCATTTTCCTGATAACATGATCTGGAGTATCTTTTCATATGCTTATTTGCCATCTGTGTGTCTTCTTTGCTGAGGTGCTTGTTAAGGTTTTTGGCCCATTTTTAAGCAAGTTGCTTTTTTCTTGTTGTTGAATTTTTAGAGTTCTTTATATATTTTGGATAACAGTCCTTTTTCCAGAAGTATCTTTGCAAATATCCTCCTAGTCTGTGGCTTGTCTTTTTATTCTCTTGATATTGTCTTTCATAAAGCAGAAATTTTTAATTTCAATCAAGTCCAGCTTATAAATTCTTTCATGGATCATACTCTTGGTGTTATATCTTAAAAAGTCATCACAAACCCAAGAGCACCTATATTTTCTATAGTTTTCTATTTTACATTTAGGTCTGTGGTTCATTTCAAATTAATTTTTTGTGACAAATTTAAACTGTATTTCTATATTGTTTTTTTTTTCCCATGTGTGAATGTCTAGTTGTTCCAACACTGTTGAAAAGATGTCTTTTCTCCATTGTATTGTCTTTGGTGCTCTGTCAAAGGTCAATTGAGTATATTAATGTGGGTCTAGTCCTGAGCTTTCTCTTCTGTTCCATTGATTTATTTGTCTATTCTTTTGCCAACACCAGACTGAAGCTTTATAGTAAGTCTTAAAGTGCTGTAGTGCCAGACCTCTAATTTGTTGTTTTCCTCACTATTGAGTTGGCTATTTGGAGTCTTTTGCCTCTACATATAAACTTTAGAATCAGTTTATCAATATCCATAAAATAACTTTCCTAGATTTTGATTTGAATTGCATTGAATCTATACATCAATTTTAGAAGAATTAACATCTTAACAGTTTTCCTGTCTGTGAATATGGGATATGTCTCCATTTATTATTTTTTTATTTCTTTCATGAAGGTTGTAGTTTTGTAGTTTTCCTCATGTAGGTCTTGTGCACGTTTTATTAATTTTCATTTTGTAATAAAATTAAATTCTTAAGGAAATTCCATTATTTCATTTTGGAGGTACTAACTAAATGTTGTTGTGGGTTTTTGTTATTGTTATTATTGTCGTTTTTTTGTGTGTGGTACCGGGATTGAACCCAAGAGCACTTAACCACTGAACCACATCCCCAGCCAAATATATGTGTGTATATATTATTAGAGACAGGGTCTCCCTAAGTTGCTTAGGGCCTTGCTAAGTTGCTGAGGCTATCTTTGAACTCATGATACTCCTGCCCCAGCCTCCTAGCCACTGGGATTATAGGCATGAGCCCCCACACCTGGCATTATTGTGTTTTTAATTTCAAATTCCATTTGTTCATTGCTGGCATATAAAAAGCAATTGACTTTTGTTTAGTTAACCTTGTATCCTGCAACTTGATATAATTGTTTATTAGTTCCAGGAGTATTTTTGTCAATTAATTTCAGATTTTCAACATAAACAAAGACAAACAAATACAGTTTTACTTTTTTCTTTGCAATCTGTATAGCTTTTATTTCTTTTTCTTATCTGTTTGCATTATCCAAAGTTTCTAGTATGATGCTGAAAAGCCATGATGAGAGGAGACATCTTTGCCTGTTTCTGATCTTAGTGGGAAAGCTTTAAATTTCTTATCTTTAAATGTTATGTTAGCTATAGATTATTATTATTATTATTATTATTTTATTATATAGGTTTTTTTTTAGGTGGACATAAAATATCTTTATTTTATTTGTATGTGGTGCTGGGAATCGAACCCAGTGCCTCGCGCATGCTAGGCGAGCGCGCTACCACTTGAGCCACATCTCCAGCCCCAGCTATAGATTTTTTAAATAGATATTCTTTATCAAATTGAGGAAGTTCTCCTCTATTCCTAATTTACTGAGATTTTTTTTTTTTAAATCATGAATGGGTGTTGGGATTTGTCAAATGTTTATCTGCATCCAGTGATCATGTGATTTTTCTTCTTTAGCTTGTTGATGTAATGGATTATATAAATTGGTTTTCAAATGTTGTCCCCTAAATTTTTAATTACTAAATATAGATCAACACTTCAAGTCTTGGTTCTACCTTTGCTCTACCAATTT